GGAGAGATCTGGCTGGAAGAGTTCAACCTCCTTTGTCTGATAGGGATCTGGTTGATATGTTCATGGGCACTTTGGCAGGGCCTTTCTTTAATCATCTTATCAGAATCTCTTCATCTAGTTTTACCGAGCTGATATTAACTAGGGAACATGTCGAAGGAGGTATTAGAAGTGGAAAGATTCAAGTGGTTGCGTCTTCAAGAACTGTAAAGAATACGTTCAATGGAAAGAAGGAGACAAATGATGTTTATGGCCAGAAGGGTCATGGTCAGAATGCCCTTTGCAAAATTTCCAAAATACCTTTTATTTTCGAAGATGCATCTCTGGATGCACCAAATTTCACTTTTTTAAAATAAAATTCGGAGATGAACAATCAAAGTCAAGTTAAGGGTGTGTTCGGAGATGTACCTCTAAAAATACCTTTTTTAATTAAAAAAATTAGTTCGGAGATACATATCCGAACTATGTGACCATATTTAAAGGTCGCGTCAGACCTTCCCTCTTCTCATTCTTCATTTTTCATAAAGGTGTTTGTTTCTCTCAACCTCTCAACTCATTTCCAGTACACACTCAAGATCAAGTTTTGAAGTTATATTCACTTATTCCTTACCATTCTTAACTCCATCTACCGATTGCATTCAACATCAGAGCACTCCACAATCTCACCAACACATTTAAGAGTAAGTTTTTCATTTAGCTTATTTTGATTTTTGATTAATGTATTAGCTCAAATGTACTAGTTTTAATGCATTGTATAGCTCAAATAGCTTAGTGTATAAGTTTGGAGACTCTGTTTATATGATCTGGGTGAGTTTTATTGGGTTTGGATGAGCTAGGGAAGTTGCAGAAATGGTTTTGTCATTGAAGTTGTCGAAGCTTTTTTTCGGATATGTATATATGAACTGTATGATTCCATCTTTTCAGATATGCATATCTAAACTTATTCCTTCTTATTTTTGTTATGTTTTTTTCAGGATGGCTGAAAACTAAAAAAGGTTGAGACTTGGGCGACCCACCCTAACTTCCTCTGCTCGTCGCGAGAGGGCTCGTCAGCACGAGAAGGCTAGAGTCACCCCCCTCAGCCTCACAATAGGAAGGTGTCAGGCTCTAGGAGTTGTCGACTATCACGAGGATCGGGATCTCAAAGTGGTGTGCGGCATCATGAGGATTCCTCAGTTTCATCTTAGGTGCAGCTTGCTGAGGATGCCTCCCTTGTAGCCCCGTTTCTAGGAGGGTCCGTGGACACGTCTTTACTCATATACTTTGGAGAGCATGTGACTCCGCATGTCTGAGAAGGAGAGGTAAATTTATGAAATGTATCTATTTTTTATTTTGTATCCAAACTCAACTCAATTGATCAAGTTATATTTTATTTTCAAGAGGAGTGTGACTGTCTCAAAAGTGTGAATCATGCAAGAAAGGTTCATGGTCTTTACCAGCCCAAGTAAGCATGATTCCAAAATGTACTCCAGAACTCCAGGTTATCCGGTCTTTGTACTACAGGGTACATCGATATCATTCATGGCATGTAGGTTGCATTTGCTGAGAGGTGGCACAGTGAGACCTTATCTTTCCATCTCCCCATTGGTGAGATGACTATTACGCTAGATGATGTAGCATGCCACATACACCTTCCCATCAGAGGAAGGTTGCTTGATCATTCTAAGATCAGTAGGGCTAAGGCACAATAGATGATGGAGGTTTATTTGGGAGTTGACCCTGCAGAAGTCTTTGAGCAGTGTAGAAGCACGAGAGGTGCACATGCCAAGTTTGCTTGGTTGGAAGACTTGTATGGAAAAAATTTGGAGATAGATGATCACTCAGACGCTGATGATCTCTTGGTTATCTACCACAGGGAGTGTGTCCTGAGATGCTACTTCTTATTCTTGGTTAACACGTCCATGTTTGTGGACAAAAGTACAAATTATGTGGATGTGGTCTACCTTAAATATTGCATCGACTTGGAGACCATTGGCGAGTGGAATTGGGGAGACAACATAATGTTTGGCTTACATGTACTCCAATATGAACGAAGGTTGCAAATATACGACAAAGCAGATGACAGGCTCGTGCACACTGCTTACGATAATTTCCAAATTTCACTATTAAGTTACAAACTAATATTTTTTCACATTTGTTACTAATACTTATTTTCTTATTTATTTTCAGGGATGGATTCTTGCTCACTATTATTGCATCCACGAGTTTAATCTTGACCAGTTATATACTCATGATTGGCCATATGCTTGTCGTGTCCCTAGCAGGGGGAATGATCATATATTGTTGTATCGTGTGTATATCAATCAGACTCAGCATAATGACGTAAGATGGAGGCCATACGGTGCTCACCGAGACACAATTCCATTCGACTCACTTCCTTATACTTTAGATGGTTGGTATGTGGAACCAATATCATGTGCAAGTATCTGCTAGAGTGGTGCATGAGGCAGTTTGGATACGTCCACATTTCTGAGGTCCCCCTTGCAGGCTGCTCTGAGCACTATTGTCTGTAGACACCTAGATGATATTCTTGAGGATTTTGAGAGTGGTATGGTACCAGAGGAGTATAGGAGTCAGGCAGTCACATCTGAGTGGTCTTATGTGGAGGGTTACATGACATGGTTCTATAGGGTGTCACACTCTTACATGACACAGGACGCTCCTGAACGTCTACCTAGGCCTGCTCATGAGGAGATTCTGGAGAATAAGCAGGCCATGAACCACGGTGGCGTTGATGTGTTACCGCGTTGTCAGACCATTATGCGGCTTGCACGTGTGGGCATCGAGACCAGAGTGTTTTCGAGAGGTGGAGATGAAGCGGTTGCACTAGCATAGTCCATTATTTTCGAGGCACAGAGTGTCGTGGCTTACCGAAGACAGAGGAGGAACCATATTATTAAGATTAGACATACACGGTAGAGTATGTATTTAATTGTATTTTGTTTAATTTTAATTGACTTTCAGAATAATTATTGTACTAATATATTCAGTTTCTATAATATTCGGTTTTATTAAAGATTTACGTGATTCTATAATATTCGGTTTTATTAATCTTTGAAACAAATAACTGCAATTTTAATCAAATTGAAATTAGTTTAGATTACAAACACCACAATAATTAAAAATTGATTTTGGAAAAATCACTCGAAAAATAATTTGGAGACGCATCTCCTAATTTTAAGGCGAAAGGTGATTTCGGACATGCATCTCCGAATTTACGCTAGAGGTGTATTTGGAGAGACATCTCCGAACTAAATTTTACTATAAAAAAATATTTAGTGTTTTTAAAAAATATATCTCTAAATTCACTTAAAAAATATTTTAAAATTTTCAAAAATACATCCTATATAACAAGGATGGGATGAAAAATTACCGTAATTAAATTACAAAACCTTTTGTAGCTATTCATTATGGTCCAACAAATAGCTATAACTTGCCTAATGAATACCAATCCCCAACGAACCTCCATTTTCTGATATTATACATATAATTAAGGTCGTTTATAGTATGGTTTAGTGAAAAAAATTTATCTAATCAAACTAAATTATAATAAAAATTTATTTAAATTGAATCGAATCATTTTAATTTACTTCAAATTGAACTGAACTATAATTATTAGTTTGGTATATCATTTTAAAATTTTAAATCGTATCGAACCGATAAATTTTTATTTTATAAACTGAATTATATATTAAAAAATCGAACTGTTAAACTATTTTTAATTTTTTTAATAAATAAAATCTGTTTAATTTTTCATTTTTAATTTTTGGTTCAATTTTAGAATTATTTATGCAATATAATTTAATTCATTAATTAAATGTAATAGTTCGGTTATTTTAACTAACCGTTTTACATATCCTTTTCATTCTTCACATTTTAAAAATTTTTTTTTAATTCAACTCAGCTTAAAATTTAACAGTGTCTCAAAAACAACATTCACAGTAATTAATAACTAAAGAATCGAATCTCAATAATCTTCACAGTTATTAAAAACAAAAAATTGTTTCAGGAACAATATTTCACCGTAATTAAAAGCCAAAAAGTTAGATCTAAACGAAAACTTGTGAAAACCCAAATGGGTATGACAGTGTGATAGAATGATGGAAAAAATGATTTTGGGTTTTACTGGGTTTCCTTTTTAATTTTATCACTTTTTTTTAGTTAAATACGCCTTTTAACTAATCTTCATTTTCTGGGCTTTTCTCTTTTAAGTGAAAAAAAATTAGTTTTCAGTTTTTGTTTAAAATTTCACATTTTTAAGACTTTAAAAGAGATGCACTTACATATAAAAAAATATAAAGTTTTACACTTTTATCCAATAAAAATATACTATTTTATTATAATATAATTTTTTTAAAATTTACAATTTAATTTGACAGAATTTATGATTGTAATTGATTAACGATGTCAAACATTTTTACTACATTTATTTTTTTTCTATTTTTAATTGCTTAAGTTTCATATAATTCTGAGGATTTGTTTAAAAATTAATTCTAGGTTTTGAACAAGATGAAAATTAATAATGCATAAAATCCAAAAATTCAGAAAATAAATTTAGTGACTGATTTTAGATTAATCGCCAAAGTTAAATGTGACAAGTCATTTGACATGTAATCGGAAATTGACTTTGTTAATGACATTTATCTCTCAAAAAAATATGTGCTTAATTTTTTTAAGAACCCACGTAAGTTTCACTTAATAAAAATATTTAAAAAGATAAATATTAAAAGAAACATTGCATGTATAATTCTTGCGAAACACAGTAATATAAATACCATATAGTAATTGATATTAATATTATATATAATGTCTTACAACCCCTGCAAAAGAAGCAGGCTGAAGACTACACATCATCACATTTGCATGTACTATAGCAGAACAGTGCTGCTTTACAACTGTCAAATATTAAAAGCGATTTTCATGAAAATGAACTAAGCAAAAGCACATTAGAAAAAACCCAACAGCAATCCTATCTTAGAAACAGAAAATAAATTAACACTTTTTCATGAAGGCAAAACGCGGAAACTTTGCTTCCTTTTCTTCTCTTTTTCTTCATCGCTTTCTTTATTTTCAAATATTCTTCGTTCATATATATCCTACAAAAATATTAAAAAGACAAATATATTAATATGTCAGTCAATATCATTAAATATATGGTACCTCGCCTAAATCTACGCGAAAAATATTTTCTATTATTATTCATCTCATCAATGTTGATGTAGACACAGTTTTGCTCTTATTACTATAATAGTCAATTTTGGACACGAACATATATATAAATGTTAGAACAAAGATACTCCATATTTAGCTTAATATCATATTAAGCACTTAATTTACATATATTAATATCAATAATGTGAAGATATTAATAATCAATAATGTGAGGAGATCGAAGAAAGCTTACATAGAGAGCTATGGCAGACCACTATCTAAGAGTGGTATGGAGGGGGAGGAGAAACATAGAGGTAAGGCTTCTTGGTTGGAGTTGGTGGAGGAGAGTGGTGAACTGGGTGAGGAATGTATGGAGGATAAGTGTGAACAGGTGGAGGAGGAGGAGAAGCGTACTTGTATGGCTTCTTTGGTGGTGAGTAAACTGGGTGAGGAACGTAGGGAGTGGGGACCGGTGGTGGAGGAGATGAGTATTTATATGGCTTTTTGGGTGGTGAGTAAACTGGGTGTGGAATGTAGGGTGAGGGAACCGGTGGTGGAGGAGATGAGTATTTATATGGCTTTTTTGGTGGTGAGTAAACTGGGTGAGGAACGTAGGGAGTGGGGACTGGAGGTGGGGGAGATGAGTATTTGTAAGGTTTCTTTGGTGGTGAGTAGACTGGATGTGGAATGTATGGAGAGGGAACCGGTGGTGGTGGAGATGAGTATTTGTAAGGTTTCTTTGGTGGTGAGTAGACTGGATGTGGAATGTATGGAGAGGGAACCGGTGGTGGTGGAGATGAGTATTTGTAAGGCTTCTTAGGTGGTGAGTAAACTGGGTGGGGAACGTAGGGAGTGGGGACTGGTGGTGGAGGAGATGAGTATTTATATGGTTTCTTTGGTGGGGAGTAAACTGGGTGGGGGACGTAGGGAGGGTGGATTGGTGGTGGAGAAGAGTATTTGTATGGTTTCTTCGGTGGTGAGTACACTGGATGTGGAACGTAGGGAGTGGGGACTGGTGGTGGGGGAGATGAGTATTTATATGGTTTCTTTGGTGGTGGTGGTGAGTGGTAGATTGGTTTAGGGTAAACATGGTGGGTTGGAGGTGGTGGAGATGAGTATTTATATGGCTTTTTATGTGGAAGAGGAGGTGAGTGGTAAACTGGGTGTGGGTGTGGGTAAGGATGAGGGTGGGGGTGGGGGTGAGGTTGGGGATGGGGATGGGGATAAGGGTGATATGGAGGAGGAGGAGATGAGTATTTGTATGGCTTCTTTGGGGATTGAGGTGGTGAATGGTAGACTGGGTGGGGGTGTGGATGAGGATGAGGGTGGGGGTGTGGATGAGGGTAGTATGGAGGTGGTGGAGAATGGTAGATAGGTTTAGGGTAGACATGGTGCACTGGTGGAGGAGGAGATGAATATTTGTATGATGTCTTTGGTGGTGGTGGAGAGTGGTAGACTGGCTTAGGGTAAACATGATGAACCGGTGGCGGAGGAGAAGCATATTTGTACGGCTTATGGTGTGGTGGCGGTGGAGATTTGTAATGGTAAGGATGCTTAGGAGGAGAGTACACCGGTGGTGGGGGAGAAGCATACTTGTACGGCTTATGGTGCGGTGGTGGTGGAGATTTATAGTGGTAAGGATGTTTTGGAGGAGAGTACACCGGAGGTGGTGGTGAAGAGTAATGGTAAGGTGGTGAAACAGGAGGGTACACGGTGGCTGGTGGTGGAGGAGAAGAATACAAGTAGCTGTTGGCTGAAATTTGGGATGGTAAGGTTACAAACAGCATGGCTAAAAGAAGAGTCAAAGTGGCAGAGGCCATTGAAGACCTCATTTTTTTGGTTCTTTGCCTTCAACCTCACTTGCTTAGTGGGTTTTTGATGTGCTTTGAGATAGACAAGTGATGCTCTTTATATAGATATTTTGGTTACTTCATTCATCTAACTACTGGGACAATTCATCTTGGTAACTTTTTTTTCAACTTGCCAAAACTTGGTTTCCAATAAGGTGTTGCCGTTTCTTGTGTTTTGTTTTCTTTTTCTTATTATGTATATTAATAGATCTAAAGTATTTACTTTAAAATTAAAGTAAGGGTGAGTTAATTTCTTTTATAAATAACCAATGAGTGTTGAATTAAGTGGAAAAGTTCAAATTTCTGCTGGAAAAAGTTGTTTATATTTAACGATGTTCCGAAAATAGATTACCCTCAATAAAAGAAATTTTTTTAAAAATTTATTAATCAAATATTTTTAACACAATTATATAAATTAATCTCTCGAATACGAGACAATTACAATAAGCAATAAAAAACATATAATTAATGTTTGTCCTTTCCGCTTAACTACGAATAAAAGAAATTAAAATGAAAGAGAATTATAATATTGGTTAAACCAATTTAATTAATATTTACACGGTGAGATATTTGATGCAGCGTCGAGTTTAAATATGTAGTATATTGTTTTTTTATTTTTAAATAGTTAATTACAGTTATTAAACTACTTATAAAAAGATAGTCATAATTTGTAATAATTGTGATGTTGTGATTTTAGTTATGAATTTACTACTATATAAATGATGAAATTTTAACATAATTAGTTATCATTATTATTGAGTTTTTATAATTAATTCCCTAATTCAAATTTCTTACCAATCTTGAAAAATGATGTATAAAGTCCTAACTCTGTGCTATATTCGTTTTTGTCTTTGTAAGACTTTTCAAAAGGACTTGTACAGTACAGGGCCCATAGCAGCCTCAATTATAGGAAGATAATTCTACGTGAAATTTTGTTACTATTATTTTATACAAACACTTATTTTTTATCTATTTATTTATAAATACATTCACTAAAATGTAACGTATTTGGCTTTTATAACTCACCTAGCCCCCTTAGAAAACTTGCATGCAATTTATTAATGTATCATGGCATCGGTTCAGGCTTGGTCCTTTTCAGATAAAGACAAGAGATGTGTCTCCTTTTACTTTACAGCTTTAATTTTTTTTACTCTTGTGTAAAGTAAAGTAAAGTGTATAACTTTTGATATAGATTTTGCTTACTGAACTACAACTATTTTCTTTAGAACAAACAGATAATTAAGTTCACAAAGATGTAGCATTTTCACAATCGTATCAGTTTGAGAATTTTCCAGTAGCTTGGAGCTTAATTGTACAGCATTGATATATACATATATCTTGAGTCTTGAAAGTGTGTTACTCTATTCTGAATTTGAATTTGGTTAGATACAAATAATTTTTGCGTTGGATGAGTTTACATAATAAATTCTAGTTTTAAATGGAACTTCTGTTAGTAAACAATATGAATGGTTCCTTTTGGATTAATCGGTCACAAGATCACATATCAAGATTTTAAAAATAAAATAAAATTGATTTTTCTTTAACAAAAATCTCTAAATTTTGTCAATTGACAAATACACATCATAGTGTATTGTAAAGTGTTGGTACATTTGAAAATGTACGGTGGAAATTGAAAAAGAAAAAAAATGAAAGTTTATTTATTTTTAATGCGAAACATGAACTTCAATAGACAGAAATAGGCAAAGGTCTCACAACATCAATGATCTGGGAAGAACTCCTCCAAGATTCTAGAGTCTAAAGAGATTTCAATCCCTACCAGTTTATGAGTCTCAATATTACAAGTCCTAGAAATACACATTACAGAAGCAACAACAAATGAATTTAAAAGACACCTACAATTAGCAGCTATAGGCTCCAAAACGATAAATTTTACGACAGAATTAATGCAATCCACTATATTGAGGCAGACAGACTGCACCAGAACACGCTCCAGATTGAGCTCCTTGGCTAGCAGCAGGCTCCAGCGGATGGCCAAGACTTCAACAACTGTGGGATCAACTATCAGCGATTCCTTCTTACTGGCCGCCAGAATTACATCACCGTCGAGTTTCTTAATCACACAGCCAAAAGTCACACAACATGTAGGAAAAGAACATGTATCAACCTGCAGCACATGAACATCCCTTGTGTATATAATCCTCTTGGGACATCAACTTCCTGTAGACACACAACCCAGGATTTCATCTGTTAAATTCTAAGACATTGTTGAGGACTTCCTCTGCCACCCTGATTGGATCAGACACTTTCTTCTAGTATAACAACAGGTTTCTTGCAAGCCAAATCTTGTGCAACAAAGTACCAATCAATTGGACACTTAACACATCACCACATGCAATAGTATTTTCCAACCAGTCTATAAAATTCATATTATGAGGCATTATGTAACCGAGGATAGAAACAAAGAGACACTTTTTTGAAAACTCACAATGGATGAAGAGGTGTTGCATAGTGTAACACCCCATTTTCCCATATGAATATTTATAATGAAATATACGACAAATACACCAGAGTTCACAATGGAATGCCACATAAATCATAAAATCCATAAAGTTCTCAATATTTTTTTACTTCGTATATCCAAAAATGGTTATTCGGCAGCGGAAAATCAACATAAAAGTAGTTCATTGGCATTCTAGCCTTAACAATAATTCAAATCCACAATACGTGGTCCATCATAAGTTTAAAAGAAAATATGTAACATTTGAAATCATGCAAAACATAATGAAAATCCCAAATCCTGTGTTACATATCAGAGCGACTCCTAAGACTCGATCAAGTAACATCACTTCAAGCACTACTCGGGTACCTGATTATCTGTACTCCCGAAGAGTATAGACACAACAACACAAAAGGGGTGAGAATTTCATTCAATAATTACACGATGAAATAAAACATGCTAAGGAGTATTAAATCACAACATACAGAAAATTCATCACAGACAACCATCATCACATCATACAACATCAATTCAGTATTTATGCAATACAATAGTCCTACATCAACATGCATGTGGTACCATCAAATCATAAACCTTCAACTCAATCCTAATTGGGCAATAACAGAGCAAAATCTCTCAACACAATGCCAATTCAGGCAAACATCAGGGCATAAGCCCTCATCCATGAACGCATGCAATATGAACATGCAACAACGTGAAATCATACAACCACAAGGCATAAGCCTTCATCACCATGGAAATTTAAGTCATCCGCATCATCCTCATCATAATCACCAACATTGTCTCATACCGGTATCAGCAGCAAAAGAACATCGCAAGAAAGCAACCCACCATTTCGGTGTAACAACGAGAATAATTCTTATTTTAACTTAGTTACTAGAATTATCCTTATAAATCTCATCATATATACTCATATAATAAAAGCATCATCATCATCATATCATCATATAAAACAGAATCATCATATTAACAACATATCATCATCATACTTCATTACCACAAAACATAATAACGATTCAACACGGAGAAACTAAATATATCCTAAATTGGGTACTAGAATTATCCTTCTTATTCTTCATTTTACTCCTTATAAATATAGTTCATCGCATTAGTTATCCAACACTTCAAACGGCACCTCAAACGGAGTCCGGGAACTCAAGTTACGGCCTTTAAAAAATCTATCAAAAATTGGATTGCTTGAGTCGACGCGTGCCCCCTTTGAGTCGACGCATAGGTATTCTGTCTGCCTCGGGTGTGCTCAGGTCGACCCAATGATTCTACACATACTGAGTCTTGAACCTGCATGTGCCAATGCATGACCTCTTTGAGTCGACGCATGTTGTTTTGTGCTGAATTTTTCTGCGATTTCACTACCTTATAAGTCCTAAAACATCATCTAATCATAGAGATTCATCATCCATTATCATCCTATGTTTCTACATCAATTATACATCATTTTAACATTATTATTAATCTTATATTTCATCAAATCCTCATCCAAAATCCTCAAATCCTAATTCTCATTACTTATAGGTTCTAGATTGGGGTTTTATGCAACAATCATCATAACAACGCAAATCACAACAACAATCACAACATATCATCACATATCCATGTATAATCATATACAACATATCAATTCAATCAAACCAAACAAATTATATATCAATCATATAAAGCAACCTAAGAGGGAAAGGAACCCTCACTACCCTTTCATGTAAGACAACCAATTAGAGAATCCATTCACCCCCCCTTACCTTATGATTATTGTTAGCTTTCGATTCTTCTTCTCGTTCTACAAATTCCTCTTTGCCTCCATGTCTCCTTGCGCCCTAGCTTCTCATTTGCTCTTCTCCCAATATCTCGATCGTACCAAATGATCGTACAATTCTCTTTTCCCTTAGTTATCACAAGGACCCCTAATATATTCCTCAATTGCCCTCACTTAGAATTATACCATTTACCATCATGCTCTTACTCTTTCTACTAATTACCATCTTGTCCTTATTTTCTCTACACTTCTATTATTTTATTATACTAATTACTTAAATCCAAATAATTCCAATTAATCACTATTAAATCTAAATAATTCCAAAATAGTTATTTAAATTCCAAACCTTGCTAACTCATCCTACACCACACAACTCATCATCTTAAAAACCTTATTCATCAAATCATCGCTATTTGCATCACGAATACACATCATATATTGTCACAAGGACTCACACAAAGCACCAAAACATCATAAATAAGCATCAAAACACCATCTACTTCACATAGACTCATATAATCATACTAAATTAATTAATTAAATAATTAATCTAAAATTCAGGGTGTTACAACTCTCCCCCACTTAAAAGAATTTGTGTCCTCGAAAATAACCTGACGGAAACAACATTGGATAAGACTATCTCATATGATCCTCGCATTCCCAAGTTCAACTCTCACCATCTGGTCTACCCCACAACACCTTCACTAAGGAAATATCTTTGCCTCGTAATTG